CAGGACTCCATCGTATGTTTAGGAAGTACAATTTCCTACACTAGACCTATTGTTTCAGCAAGATGTAAAGAAACACACATTTACTTTTTATAAAAATATTATTTTGAAGATGTTATGTAATGTAGTCAGTGTTTTTGTAATTTATTCTTATACTAATTTGAAATATGGGGAGTGAGGTGGCTCTGTATGAAAACACTGGAGTGCGAATCACAAAGTTGGCAATCCGAGTCCACTAGTTATTCTGAGGGAGAAAGATGAAACTTTCTGTTCCCACAAAGGTTTCACAGCCTCGTAGACCCTGTACAGGGAGGGTCACTATGAATAGTCTATACTTACCAACTTTTACTCAGTACAGTCAGTTACATGTAAATTTATCATTTATGTTATTATTTTAAAAGTCTTTTAAAAATACATGTAAGCCCTTTTATTTGTAGTCTGTGAGAAGTCCAGGTGTGGCTTTTGAATGTAAATTCAGATGAAATTGATTCCAAAGACTGGAAATAGTATATGGGGAACTTGTAAGAGTCCTGTAGGGTAAGCACTGGACCACAAGGTCAGGTTGAACTACAAGGTCATCGGTTCAAACCTAGCAGCCACTCCTCAGAAACCCTATACAGGGTCATTATGAGTCGAAACCGACTTGCCGGCACTAAACAACATAGGATCCCTGGTGGTACAGTGCCTTGGCACATGATGTCTAAATGAGATGTCAGTGATTTGAACCCACCGAACTCCACAGGAGAGAGATGTGGCCGACAGCTTATGTAGAACTAGAACTATTTACATAGGGTTCAGAATCCCTATGGAGTAGCTCTGTAGGGTTGTTACCAGTTGGAATTGAGTAGATGACAGCGGATGTGGTTTTAATTTTATATACTACTGGTGGTGGTAGCTATGTGCCATGGAATCAGTTCTAACTCACAGTGACCCTGGACAGGGTTTCCAAGGCTTTAAGTCTTTACGGGAGCAAAACTCCTCATCTACGCTTACACTACCAGATCATAACGTAGTGGTTACGAATCGGGCTGCGAACTGCAAGGTCAGCAGATCGAAATGACTAGCTGTTCTGCGAGAGAAAGATGAGGCATTCTTCTCCCATAAAGATGCACAGCCTCGGAAACCCTGTACAGGGTCGCTATGAGTCGGAACCGACTTCACGGCACATGACCACTACCACCACCACCACGCTTATACTACTAGGAAGTGATAAAGGAACTCTGATAGCATATAGTGGATTATGAGTTGGGCTACTAGCCGCAAGGTCAGCAGTTTGAATCTTCGCGTGAGAAAAATTAGACCTTCTGCTTCCATAAAGATTTGCATGTATGAAGCTTCCAGGCTAAGACAGATTATGAGTTATAAATAAGGGATCCACTTCTAGGAGACTACACACTGTAAACTTTATGAACAGTGGTGGAACATAGTCTGGTAAAACGCCAGAAGAGAAGCTTTTCTGGCTGGAAGGCACTCAAAATACAACCAGGGAAAAGCGCCCTTAGTAGAGTTGACCTTAATAGTGTGGATAGAGCAAAGCTTTTGGTACATTCCTTTGCCAACAGGACATAACTCAAAGTTAGAAGAAACAGCTGCAAACATCTATTAATAATTAGAATGTGGAATGTTCAATGTATGAATCAAGAAGAACTAGAAGTCCTCAAAAATAAAATGAATCACATAAAGATTGATATAATAGGCATTAGTGGAGCCTTGGTAGAGTAGTGGGTTACAAGTTGGGCTGCTAAATGCAAGATCAACAGTTCAAATCTACTAGCTGATGCATGAGAGAAAGATAAGGCTTTCTGCTCCCATGAAGATTTACAACCTTGGAAACCTTATACAGGGTAACTATGTGTTGGGACTGACTTAGGCACACAACCACCAACTACTAGGCATGTGGTTGTTACGTGCTATCGAGTCAGTTCCAAGTTATCGCAATCCTGTATAAGGTTTCCAAGGAGCAGCTGGTGAATGCAAACAACCGACCTTGCAGTCTAGTTCTTATCCTACTATGCCACACCAGGACTCTACAACTCAAACTGCAGTGTTGGCTTAAATGTACCTAAATCTTTACTACTTTCTTTGCATATCTTTTTTGTGTTTTAATCTGTAGGTCTTTCATTGTTTCCTTGCCTTATGACACTGTCTCAAACACATAGTACAGTGCCAGTTAGATGGGGTTAGAGTGGACATTCTTCACTTGTCTTTGGTCTTAGGAAGGAATCATTCAGTCCCTTATAATTAAGTCTGATGTAAGTTGTAGGTTTTTGTAGATGTCCTTTTGTCAGTGTCAGGACATTCCCTTCTATTACTAGTTTACTGAGACATTTCATCGTAAATAGGCTTTGAACTTTGTTAAATGATTTTTATGTGTCTGCTGAAATGATTTTAAACTTGCATGCATATAATGAAATAGTTTTAGTATAAGCAAAGTAAACCCAAGGAGCAAAATAAAGAAAATAAAGGACACTTCCGAGTAACTTTTTATTAATGATGCACTGCCAGTGAATCAGTCCTGACTCATAAATGAATATATTCTGACTCACAGCAAATGCACATTTAGAGAAGATACAGGAGAATCAAAAAGTGCAATTATGAAGCTTAGTATCGTGGACAAATAAAGAACCGTGTACCTAAGAATCAATTCACAGTCTTGTCACATCCATAAAACATGTTTAAGAAGTAATGTACTATTCCAGTCCTGGTGTGATGTAGTTGGATAAGCACTGGACTGCAAGGTCATTTGAACTGCAAGGTTGGCAATCGATTTTCAGAAACTCTACACAGAGTCACTATGAGTCGAAACCAACTCAACTGCAATTAACAACAATAATCCATAATTTATTTTTTTATAAAGTTCAAACAATTAGCCTTATTACAGACTGCATTCTTGAACCTGAGTGTTATTCAGTCCATTTTAAAAAGATAAATTTATACCCATACATATGAAAATAAAAAATAATACACACTTACAGTGTAATACACATTATTTTCAAAGTCTACCATCTCTGTAATTGTGATGCATAACTCAATCTACAGTATCTTAGATTTGATGAAACATGGAAAAAATGTCCTATAGACTCAAGAAAATATGTAGAACTGAACTATAATGTGAATATAGGGAAACCACTCTTTTCCATGTCTTTGCTGATTGACAAGATGAAGCCATGTTACCAGCAATGATTGTATAAACAGGTCTCCTTAAGTTTCTCCTCAATTTGAATGTCCTAATTCTATAAATCCTCTTGTGCCCAATTGTTTGAAATGTTGTTAGATAATTCTAGTTTAAATATTAGTTGGGGCAATAGAAGAGCCTCAAATTTAATTGGTTTTAAGGTTCTGGTAGAGTAGTGGTTACGAATCGGGCTGTGAACCTTAAGGTCAGCAGTTCAAAACTAGCCAGCCGCTCTGCAGGAGAAAGATGAGGCTTTCTGCTCCTGTAAAGATTTACAGCCTCGGAAACCCTGCACTGGATCGCTGTGGGTCAGAACAGACTTGACGGCACTTAACAACAACAAAGGTTGTAAGACAAGTATTTTGAGGGGGAAAATCGTAATTCAGTGGGACCACTGATTAAGAACAAGCACATGTTTTCTTAACCACTAAAAGGGAAAAGAATAACTGTAGTTAAGGCAGGGATTAAAACAAACAAATTGAAAAAGAAAAACTAAGAATAGGTTGGAAATAGCAGGGTCTTCCTTGAATATTTAATACAGACACTTCAGATGCAACATGAGCACTGACTGTTTACAGGAAAGCATGTGTTTTCTGATAAATGAGTTCAGTCTGTTTACTGGATAAATAGTCATGTAAGAGGACATAGAAAATAAGTCATTTTTTGAAATAGCAATATTGTACTCACTCATTATTAAACATTTTCTGATACCAAGGAGAGGAAAATGTGCTGTCCGCTCTTGAGACACATGTCTGAAAAAAGATACATAAGAAACTAATCATGTTTATTTATATGTGTGATATATTTCATAATTAAGCATTGTTTTATAATTATTCATGAAGTCATAATCTGCTTTACCTCTCAAAGTGCTAGTTGATTTAATTCAGTGCTATATTTGCCATTTTAAAATTTTGTTCTAGATTTTTCTTGAAAGGGAAAAAGCACATGGTACTCTTGAATTGTAATTATTACTGCTCTATCTTATTAAATGCCATCAAGTTGGTTCCAACTCACCCCAACCCTGTGTAGGGTTTCTGAGGAGCAGCTGGTAGGTTTGAACTGCCAACCCTGTGGTTTACAGTTTACTGCTGATTCTACAGCAACACCATGAGTCATAATTTACAATTTAGACATAATAATCAGTTTTGTGAATGATTTATTTTTCATTTTCTTCTCTAGTCAACAGAGAAACTATTCAACTAAATAGTTAAAAAAAAAAAAAAAAAAGAGGGTTAAGATGTTCGGTGTGTTTACTTTTCTGAAAGATGCTTTCTTTCCAAAAAGGTGAAAATAATACTGGGTGTGATCATTTATTAGTTATATGTATTTTAAAATATTAATGCTTTTTAAAATAACACATTGCTTATGCTTTGATATTTACCTAGATTCAAGAGTAAATGTGTCTAAAATTGACTTGACTTAGTTATTTCCCAATAGATTTTTATCTGTCAACTTCAAATCATCTTATATATTTCAAGAATAATTCTTGTGTAAACAGGTAATTCATTACACACTTCCTCACATTTGTGTGAAAATAAGTGTTGGTGGCTCTTCTTGTAGAAATATTGTTATCTGCCTTGGAGTCGGTTCCGACCCATAGCGACCCTGTACAGGGTTTCTGAGGCTGTCAATCTTTACGGGAGCAGAAAGCCTCATCTTTCTCTCACGGAACAGCTGGTAGTTTCGAACTGCTGACCTTGCGGTTCACAGCCCGAATCGTAACCACTATGCTACCAGTATTTCATTTGTTTTTCAGGTTGTTGAGGATTCTTGTTGTTGTTTCTTACATACTCAGTGATGTTAATGATTGTTATTGTTTGTTTCATAGGATCAAAGAGGATCAGTGACAGTGAAGTCTCTGACTATGACTGTGATGATGGAATCGGTGTAGTAACAGGTAAGAACTTCGTATCTATCGTTTTAAGAAAGGACCATAATCACTATTGTTGTTGTTGTTAAGTGCCGTCGAGTCGGTTCCGACCCATAGCGACCCTGTACAGGGTTTCCGAGGGTGTAAATCTTTACGGGAGTAGAAAGCCTCATCTTTCTCCCGCGGAGCGGCTGGTAGTTTCGAACCGCTGATCTTAAGGTTCGCAGCCTGATTCGTAACCACTACGCTACCAGAGCTAATCACTATTACTTAACAAAAAAATCATGAGAAAGAACTAACCTGTTTTTTCATTCTCCAAAACAACTTTATAATAGCATTATGGCAATTTAAACATTTGCTGCTATGACACCCCAAACAATCATTAGACTGAATAGTCATACTGAAAGATACCAGAGAAGAAAATATTTATGAGTTTTCTGCTTGTTAAACTAACAAATAATAAGGGTTTTACTATATTGCAAAATTGGAACTATTTTATACTACACTAACTTGGAGTCCTGGTATGATGCTGCAGGGTAATGCCCTGGACCTAAAGGTCGGTGGTTCAAACTCACCAGCCACTCCTCAGAAACCCTATATAGGGTTGCTATGATTCAGAACCAACTCTATGTTACTTAACAACAACTTGATAAAAACAGAAAAGAAAATCATTTCTGTTTCACCAACATGCCCAAATATGTGAAATATTTGAATAGGCATTTTGAAATTTTTTTTATTGTTGTTATATTTAGTATCTTGAGATCATTTCCTTGTATATCTACATTTTTAAATTACAATAATATAGTTTAAAATAAGCTTATAGTATTGTATACAACATACACCCAGTGCCATCAAGACAAATCTGACTATGTAGGGTGTCTGAAATCTTTACAGGAGCAGAAAACCTCATGCTTCTCCCACAGTAGGTTTGGTAGGTTTTAACTGCTGACCTTACAGTTAAAATGCCAGCACCTAACCCACAGCACCACTTGCTAGGCAAAGTAGTGGTTCTCAAACTATGATTCTGTTATTATTAATGTTATAAAAATGTTTTTATTATCTTCTTAAAGGTTAATAGACTAAAAATTTTCATAATTATGGCTAATTTTACCCTAATGAAATATGTTCTATTTTATGTTAAACATGCTACAGTTGCATCATTGAAAGATATCATCTTTTACTGACTTATTTTGATATGGTGATGGTGGTGGTTATGTGCTGTGGAGTCGAAACCGACTCATAGCGATCCTGTACAGGGTTTCCGAGGCTGTAAATCTTTACAAGAGCAGAAAACCTCATCTTTCTCCCACAGAACAGCTGGTAGTTTCGAACTGCTGACCTTAAATTCACAGTCCAATTCGTAACCTCTGGTAGCGTAGTGGTTACGAATCGGGCTGCGAACCTTAAGGTCAGCGGTTCGAAACTACCAGCCGCTCCGCGGGAGAAAGATGAGGCTT